CCTTCTTGTTTAGACTTTGGTTTATTGTTAGATGTTTTGGTACATTGATTTTCAGGTTCTAGGTGTATTTTTCCGCATTGTTTAGTTGTTAGATCTTTTGGAAGTTTATGGGAACTTCAGTCTTTAGCTATTTAACTTGCTTCCGAAACTTAAATGCTTAGTTTTTGGTTTGAGTTGTAGTAGTGGTTCTCCCGTCGGAAGGATAGTGTGGGTGTCAATCACGATGGTTTATATCGTGATATATAATTATTATTGATGTATACTCAATATATAATAAAGTATACAATTAGTATGATAAAATTATACCTTATATTTTTTCCAATAGTTTCAGAAAAATAATCAAGGAAAATAAACGTACCTTCAATTACCTTTTTTATGTTGTGTTTAAATCACCTATATTTGAAATCCACTCGCTCTATTAATTTGAGTTAGCGTTACATAAACCCAATAAAAAAATAAAGTGCTCTCTACTAAGAAATTTTCCACCCAAATATACTCATATATGCTATTGAAACTCATATCATAAACGAGAGAACCGGAAAAGAATTCTTATTGATCAAAAACCAACTCTCAATACAATGATGCACTACTACTTATATACAACTGAGCAGTGTAACAAACTAACTACTTTGGCAGGTGAAATGACAGGTTGCTCCTCAGTCAATTATCCAGCTCTCATTTACAATACTATTTACAGACAATGATGTAGCAATAGGTCCAGGTATACCTGTCATATTTGTAGCTATATTGATTCCTGAAGTTCCTGCTTCTTCTTTGTCCAGCATATGCAAAATTTTCTGATATTGTCCTTGAGTGAAAGTAGGTTGAGCTGCTAGTGCTGAAACCTCTTGTTCTTGACCCTCCTCTTTTCTGCAGATTGGTGCAAACTCATGTTGCAATATTCCTTGATCAACTCTCACTTGATTTGCCTTCATTCCTTGCATCTCCCCTGTGCCATTTTGATCATAACCTGAACTAAAATTTTCAGGTTGTTTCTTCTTAAACTTCTAGTGAGGTGGGTAGCCATTCAACTTGCAATAATCACAGATCTGATCCCAGTTTTTCTTCTTCAACTATGGAGATCTCATGTTGTTCCTCTGTATATTTCCTCTCCCGGCATCATTGCTCCTTTGAAAATTTCCTCTCCCTGCATAAAAAGCAGTAGGCTCTAGTGTTTCCCTCCTTGATTGTGTACCTGTAGTCATCTCTGACCTTCATCTGCCACTATCATAGCATATGCCTTACTAACATTTGGTAAAGGATTCATCATTAGGATTTGGCTGCGAGCTTGACCAAACACTTCATTCAACCCCATCAAAAATGCAAACAACCTCAAATAGGCTTGTTGGTCCACATAAACTCTCGATTTATCACAATTACATGATGGTGGGGGACAAAAGCATCAAATTCATCCCATAATAACCTCAGTTTCATAAAATAACTAGAAACAATCAAGTTACCTTGATGTATTGTACAAATCTCTCTGTGCAGCTGGTAAATTCTGGATCTATCAACCTTGTCAAATCTCTCATTGAGATCACTCCACATTGTAGCTGCATCATCAGCATACACGATCCCACTGAGTAATTCCTTAGATACTGTATTCATGATCCAAGCTAACACAAAGCAATTGCACTTCTCCCACTGTTCCTCCAATTCCAATTTATAGTTACTCCTCTTGCATGATCCCAACACAAAGCCAACTTTACTCTTTGCTCGAAGATTAATTAGCATAGATCGACTCCATAATGAGTAGTTCTCCATGCCTGTGAGTTGCACTGTAGTTAGAACACATCCAGGAGTATCAGATGGATGAAGGTAAAGAGGATGATTCCTCTTCTTCTCAATTTCTTCCAGAGTTTCAGCACCCTGTATTGCAGACGTATCTCCAATCAATGTTGATTCTCCAGTAGTCATTATTCCTCTGCTTCCACAAAGGATCTACAATGGCGGAACCTATTCTATGCAGTTGAATCGAATCTCGACTCAAGGCTCTGATACCATATTGAAACTCATATCATAAATGAGAGAACTGGAAAATAATTCTTATTGATCAAAAACCAACTCTCAATACAATGATGCACTACTACTTATATAAACTAACTACTTTACTGTGCTAACTAACTCTGACACTTTCTAACTAGCTAACTAATTTACACGTGGACAATTAGTGGACAATTAGCTATAGTTTAATTAACTAACTATACAATCAATCAGTGTTATTAGCCAATTTCAATATATGCTTCATTTTAACAAGAAAATAAATAACGTTTCATTTTCTGTTTCTTTCTTTTGAGTTTAATTTCTTCAAAGCCTCCACTTCTTTTATATTAGTAAAATATAAATTTTGTAAACTTAAAAATAACGGATATGTGAAGACAACTTAATAGTATTAAAAGAGTAATACTATTCATGTATCATGTAATATAACTTAAACATCTTATAAAATACTATCAGTATGTTTTGACTGATTATGCTAGTTATATATTGTACTTTTAAATTATAAAATTAGAATTACTTTAAGCAATTATCAATTTTATCTTCACTTAATGGTGTGATTTAGTTTAAATATATGATCAGCCGTTAATGATTTTGTTTTTACTTCAAATCAAATAAAAATATTTGACTCAATCCACTTTTTGACTTTGTTCTTCACATGTAGTTGTTTTTATTGGAATATATATGTATACACTCCCCCTAGAACTAATTAAATGCCATGTCAGAACACGTTTGAAATGAATGCCACGTCAGGACACGTTTGAAATGTCGTTAAAATCAGAATTTTATTATAAGAATTTTTTTAAAAAAATATTAGAATTTTTTTTACTATTTGAATACGTAACTTAATGGAGGACTCAAAATTTCTAAATCGTGGAATATTTGATTGTCTTTATTTTCAAAGTTACTTCTATTGGATGCTCAATCAATATCTTATATATATATATATATATATATATTATTATTATTATTATTAAAAATTTATATTTGATATATAGTATAATTTTTCGGTGAATGTGTTTTTAGCTCTACCCCTAATAATTAGGGCCTAATTACAACTACATGTTCCCAACTAGGCAACTACAAACGATCTACTCATTTTTAATCCTTTTCTCAAATACGTGTAAAGAACTTTTAGAAAATGTCTTGACATATTTTAATTTGTTATAGCATGTCAATTTATTATTCTGATATTCTAAATTTACTCTTTTATACTCCTTCTATTCCATATTAAATGTGCATTTTGCTAAAAATATTTGTCTCATATTATTTGAGCACTAACTAAATTAAGATAAAATTAATTAAGTATTTTCTATTTTACCTCTATAATTAATTTGACATTTGGAAATTTAAATAAATTTTGAAGATTCAATTTGTTTTTTTAAGAAACTAATTAATATAAATAAAGAAAAAAATAGTAAAGTTAATTAATGTATTAATAATTTTTTTAATTATCCTGTAAAATAAAAAATACCCATTTAATATGGGACGGGGAAATATGAGATTCCAAGGCCTTGGATCATATGCATGTACTTCATCCATTATTAATGCATTACTTATTATTCCAACGGTCTAATCAATTAAATTTTTGCATTCAAATTTTCAAAAAGATAAAAACAACTTGCTGAAATTTCTGTCTCTTTGATATTCATCGATTTGATTAATTTAAATTTGTGTTGCTCAAAGATTTTTTAATGGGAAAATGCTAGATGAAAAATGGTTATTTTTTAATTACAAGGATCGAAAAGTAATTATTTATGAATTTTATCTAAAATACTACTGAGAGTTTTACGTGTGAAATTTGAAACTCCATAACTATAATTCTTTTTCAATTATAGGAATCGAAAACCATTATTTATGAATATTACCCAAAAATGTTACCAACTATAAAAAAATAAATTATTGTTATAATTCGAAATTGAATTTTATCAAAAAAATAAATCTTATTCATCTCGTCATATTCATCGATGGTAAAAAAATAATATAGAAGTACACCTACTCCTCATCCCCTTGTCTCCTTTGCCCATCTAAATCCGTGACTCCCTTGAATTTAGCTAAAAGATTCTTCTCACACTAACTATTTGTACTATTCCTCTTGTTTATATTCACATGATATATAGTTTGAATTCCAAAAGTTAAATATGAAACTTTTTAAATGTGATTTACTTATACATTTTTGAATATATTTTTTTTTTATCATTTTTTGTAATTTTTTATATTTTTACGTAATTTATAAATATGTATATTATTTTTAGAAAAAACATAAAGATGGTATATATATATATATATATATATATATATATATATATATATATATATATATATATCCAAAAACAATATATTCAACGTTACCCCTCGATAGAGATGTTGATTTTGATAAACTATTGAGTTTAATAAAATATTTTTAAACAATTTGAAAAAGGAAACACAGACGTAGAAGAAATAATAAAAAATAAAATAATGCAAAAAAAAAAAAAAAAAACAACAAATAGAAGAAAGAACAATAAAACAACGAAATAATGAGATAATTAATCAGAGCACAAAAAACACAGCTAAAATCCAAATGAACGGTCAAAAAAGAAATTGACTCTCGAAAAGGGAATATATATATATGAGAATAGTAACAACAACGAAATAAGGTAAAATTGAGAGCATTACACAACAAACATAAGAAAAATCAACAATAACAATAAAATAATGTGATAATTAACCAAAACACAAAAAAACACAAGTAAAATCTTAATTCACGATCAAAATAAAAGATTTGACTCTCGAAATCCAAACTACAACAACAATAACATATCCATTATAATCTCACTAGTAAAGTCGAAAAAAAAATAAAATACACACAGACCTTACATCTACATCTATAGACACAAAAACTATTTTCGATAGACATTCGACTCGAAATCCAAACTATGTACTATATATATGCACTCATTCTAACAAAAAAAAAAAGTAATTCTCTTTCATTCATTGAAAACACACAAAAAATTAAAAAGTTCTTGAACTTTTTACATCAATGGGGAACTGCAATTGTTCAATGAAATCAGTAAGAGATTCAAGAAAATCATCAGATTTAAATTTTGCTCGTGTTATGACAGATTCAGGTGAAATATTAAACCTTAAAGGTCCCAAATTAGTTCGACAAGTTCTAAATGAATTCCCAGGTTACAACATTTTCAGTTCAAATTGTTTGTCTTCTCCATTACATAATCAAGAATTGCTCCTTGATGGACAATTTTACTATCTTCAACCTGTAATTCAAAATAAAACAGAGCCCATTTTAGTAGAAGAAGAAAAAACAGAGCAAATTCGAGTTTCGTCGAGTTTGACAAAAGGGTCAGCAATGGAAGTTTTGCCTGCTCAACGAGAAGGTTGGTGTTCTCGTTCTGTTTTATTTTATTTTATGTGACACTCTGTTTTTTTATTTTGTTGCTCCAACTTTTTTCAAAAATGTTATCAAGTTTATGTTTATTTTGGAGGATTTGACTTTATTACATTTTAAAAAAGAGTTCAAGCAATATAGATCACTTAGAAACCTTATTGTTTTACAACTTTACTATTGTTGCTCGGACTTTTTGAAAATGTGGTGTCGTTATCATATTTTATAAAGAGTTTGAGTAACATAGATCACTTAGAAATCTTATGTTTTATAACTTTACTGTGGTTGCTTGGACTTTCTGAAAATGTCGTACCATTATCGTATTTTACATAATATGTATTGCTTTTTGAAGGATTTGATATGCATCCAATGACATTTTCAAAAAGCCCAAACAACGTTGATAATTAGGAACTTTATATTTATAACTAGCTTTGTTGCTCGTACTTTCCGAAAATATTGTGATTGTGTTAGATCCATAAAAAAATGTTATTTTTGGAGGATCCGGGTTTGCCAACTTATTCACGAGTCTCTTTAATTCAGGTAGCTAATTAAGCGCATATATCTACCAACAAAGACAAATTAGAATGGTAATCTATGCTAGGAGTGCCCCTTACCTTAGACCTTAAGTAGCTGAAGGAAGCATGAAAGTAAGCAAGCAAAGTCTCAACCCGAAATCAGTAGCCCTCAAGAAATAGAAAGGAGAAAGCCCATCTCTTTCCAGTAGTATGTAGCTTTACTTCCTTGAACTTCTATGGAGGGCTTAGTTAGTGCGTTTGAGGAGCATAGATAATTGGAAAATAATTTCTAGAGAATTTGACATGCATCCGATTATATTTTCTCTAAAAGTTCAAACAACATTTAACTAACTTTTAACCAAAAAAAAAAGAGATAAGTGTCAAAAACACACCTAAATTATCTCTTATTTTTTAGTTTCATACTTAAACTATTGAGAGTGTGAGTTTCATACCTAAATTATCACTTTTTAGTTTGAGAAACACACCTCAGTGGTGTGTGTAATGCACTCTCTCTTATATTTAAAAAAATCTTGATACGTGGCATTCCACATGGATAAAATATTCCATTTTTGACAAAAATTAAATAATAAACAATTAATATTAATTAAAAATTAAAGATTAAAGTATTAGGATTTAGGAGTAATATCCAAAAAAAATATTTTTTTTTAAAAATAAAATTTAAATTATTTTTCTTACCTCACTCCACGTACCCCCTTTCCCCGCCCCGACAATCCCCCATTCTTTTTTTTTTTTTTAAAATCTTTTATAAAATATTTTAATAAAATTTATACTTCACCTCCCCCCTCCCAAAAAAAAACCACTCACTCATCCCCCCGACCCCCGACCCCCCACCCCCCACCCCAAAAAAAATGGATATTATTTTATTTTTAAAAAAAATAGAAATTTTACCCATCCTATTTAACCCTTCCGCTCCTAATTTTTATTCTTCTTTTACATTTTTCTCATTTTGTGTTAGATATGTACGTACACATATTTTTAGAAAAAAAATCTACTAGTGTACCGAATATAACATAAATAAATTAAAAATTAAAAAAAATCTTGTCGTGGCAAGTAAAAAATATTTTCGATATGTATATATCTAACACAAAATGAGAAAAAAATTGGAAGCGGAGGGCTAGGTGGAGTGGGTAGAATTTTTTAAAATAAAATAAAATAATATCTAAATTAGTATTTGAGGGGGGGGGGGGGTGTGGGGAAGTGATTGAGTGGGGTGAGAAAAATATTTTACATTTTATTTTGTGAAAGAAATATTATTTTTTGGATAATAATTTTTTAATTTTTAATTTTAACTAATACTAATAATTTTTAAAATTTTTGTCAATTTTGAATGTTTTGTCCATGTGGAGTGTGATGTGACAATTTTTTAAAATAAAAGAGAAAATGTATTACACACACCAATGATGAGAGTGATATAAAAGAGAGATGTGTGTTTCTCAAACTAAAAAATGATAGTTTAGGTATGAAACTCACACTCTCAATAGTTTAGTCATGAAACTAAAAAATAAGAGATAGTTTAGGTGTATTTTTTACACTTATCTCAAAAAAATAGTTTAGGTATGAAACTCACACTCTCAACATCTAACTTTTACTGTTGCCTATGTAGTTACAGGAATATTATGGCATTTTTAAGACTAGAAGTTTTAAAATTTAGTTTTTCTTTTTCTTTCTTGTACTTGTGTCCAGTCAAAAATCAATGTATACAATGACTTTATTGCATTTCCTCAAATAATATAATTGTTGTTCAGATTCTTCAAAAATATGGTTAAACTTGTATTGATTTCTCTAAAAATACCCTATTTATAAAGAGTTTGACACACATTCATCGATATTTTCAAAAGTCGAGAACTAGAGGTGTTTGGAGAGTGAAGTTAATCATCGCCTCAAAAGTTTCATTTTCTATTTCATATATATAGGTGTTTGGAGAGTGAAGTTAATCATCAATCCCCAACAACTAGAGGAAATTTTTTCAGAGGAAGGGTATACTGAGGCCTTAATTGAACAAATGAGAATAGCTGCAAATACAAGTTCAATTGCAAAGCATACAAGAAGTACTTCTTGTGGAGTAAATTGGAAATCAACTCTTCCTAGTGTATATAAATTGCCCAATGAAAAGCAAAATAAAATACTTGCATTGGATCAATCTTCCACTAGCAGCCCTAGATGATGACGTGGGCCCACGTGACACGAATTCAAATTAATTAAAAAATAATTTTCGAGTATATATCGAGATGATGAGAAGTGGAGTAGCCAAAAAAAATGGACCGTCGTGGCATGTACAAGGATCTTTTACTATGTTGTTAACATGATTTCTGAGCCTTCGATGATGGTTTGGATCCCACGTGCCTCGAATTTGAATTAGTCAGACAATGAATTTCAAGTATATATCGAGATGAAGAGAAGTGGAGTAGCAAAAAAATGGTTCGTTGTAGAAGGTAGATTAGATTTGACTACGTATAAGATTACTAAAGTATTTTGATCTCATTATAGTGGATTGACACAACAATAGCGCCAACGTGATTTTCACCATCCACTATATATAATTTTTAACGTTATACATATATTGTAATTTTCCGGCCCTCTAGCTCCGTCCCTATTTGCAAGCCCTAGAAAAATGATCAGCCCTGATCTAATGAGGGGAAAATTGTCATCTTAGATATTTTCATTTCTATGTTTATAGGAATTTAAGTGGCATATGTTATGCCTCTTTGTATGAATCATGATGAATAATATTTGCTATTAGAGAGTGAATTGTATTTAGCTTGATCTCTTATTTTCATATAAATTGTCTAAATCATATTTTAATTAATCATTTAATATTTGAAATTTATCTACAATCTATATAAATAGCTAAATTTGCTAAGTAGTTATATATTTATTTAATCATCTGATATCTGAAATTCACCGATAATCTATATAAATGGCTAACTTAGATAGGTAGTTGTATATAATATAGGCAAAATAGTCAAAAATGCCCTTGCCGTCAATATTTTAGTTCAAAAATGCCCTTGCAGTCAATACTTTGGTCCAGAAATGCCCCTATAGTTACTAAATGGGTCAAAAATGCCATTTTTCAAATACATATATTTTTTTCCCTTTTTAAACACATCTTCTTCATAATTAAAATATTATTAAAAAACCATGTTCTTGTTTTCTTTCTTTTAAAATCACTTTAACAAATAAAAAATGTAAGAAATATTTTTTTCTTCTTAATCTCATTTTATCAATTAAAATAGAATAACTTCATATACCCTTTCGACAGATAATACATGTCATATATATAAGATCATAGTATATATCCATCATTGATTTATATTTATATAAAGATAAAAAATAATTATAATAATTTTTTTATTAAAATAAGAAATATTTTCATTTTTTATTTTATTTTCTGAATTGAAGTAAGATAAACATTTGCTAATTTAAACAAAATATTAGTAGAAAAAAATGTGTTGAAAATAAAATAAACAATATATTTATTTGAAAAATGAGTATTTTTGACCCATTAAATAACAATAAGGGCATTTTTGGACCAAAATATTGACGATAAGAGCATTTTTGAACCAAACTACAAATGGAGGGCATTTTTGTTCATTTCGCATAGTTGAACATATTTTGCCCTTTTCCCTATAATATGTAGTCTTTCCTTCACTATTCAATTTACTCTCACCTAGGCTATAACAATATTAATACTAGTAATAGTCCAATTTTTTATTATCATGATTCTTATCTGAATAGTAATAACACTGGGAATCTAGATTCCTGTCTTTAAGTTCGCTGGTGAATTATACATCACATGTGTAACTTTCACCTATGGTGACCAAATTTTACCTATTACTTCCTCTGCCACATATTAGATGAATATCTTATTAAAAATATTTTCACTTATTAAATCAGAATAATATTAATTAAATTTTCTTATTTTGCCCTTACAATTAATATGACCTTTGAAAGTTTAAACAAAATTTTAAAATTTAAGATTATTTTTTTCAATAGACTAATTAATATAAACAAAGGGTAAAATAGTAAAGTTAATCAATCTATTAATGATTTCTTAATTATCATGTAAAATAGAAAATGACCATCTAATATGGGACAGAAAAAGTATACTAATAAAGCCACAAAACTTAATTTTTGTCAAGTTAAAAAATTGAAATATGTGTGGATTGTTCGAGAAATAAATATAAATAGTTGTAATTTATAACGTAGTATTCGATATCTCAAACTCCAAGAAGTAACTAATTTCAACTTATATTCGCACTATCATTTTCTATAAACACAATATAATCGACAAAAGATGTTCAATGAATAATTTTTCGATGAAAATTATTCAATTAACCTCCTTTTCGCACCAACCGCCATCCCCACCCAAAAAAAAAGGTTGTTAATCAATTTAATAGGTACTATATGTCGTGCTTGTGAAGAATACATTCAGATTTGAAGTTTTATGCAAAGATGATAGGGCTTTATTGAGATTATGAATTATAAAAGTATTAAATGAACGATGTACAAATGGATGCCTAATTTATTGTTCTCATTTTACTTTTTTCCAATTTATTGCTTTTATTCCAAATTCAAGGTATTCATGCAAATTGCAATTCTTTTAATTTTCTTGTCTTGTATAGCTTTATGGAAAGGGAAAAGGGTTAATATACTTGTTAACTTTGTCATTTAGAGTTGATATATCTCTCGTTATAAAAATGATTCATATATACGTTTACTATTTCACAAATAGCTCACATATAATGGAAGTGAAAATAAATTAATTTTAAATTATTATTTAAAAAGATCCATGTAAGAATATATTTGATCCTTCTGACACGTATTTCTTTGACTTCTTTGATTTAACGGCTAATTTGGATTTATTATTTTGATGATCAAATTTATTTTTTCACTAATTTCTTATAAAATTTATTATAGATACCAAAAATTTATTTTACAAATATAAAAACTAAGTTAAAATATAGCCGCAAAAAATAGTTTTTTTTTTTTTAAAAAAGCACAAAATATATTAGCTTTAATTTTTTTTTCTTACTTTTTCCATTGACACTTCTTTCTTTTTATTTCTCAATTTTTTACACTTAAGATGAAAGAGAAAAAAATATGAATAAGAAACTCAAATAATTATAATCAAAGAAGTCAAAAATAATTTGGGTGAAAAGATCATATGCCCCTTCATGACTTTTTAAAAATTAAAAATCCGGAAAACAAATTCAAAATTATTTTTTCACCTCCTTTAGATGAAAAGGATATATGTGAGCCATTTTTTGGAACGATTTTCTATAATGATAGGGGTATATGTCACCATTTTTATAACGATAAATGTATATATGAGTCATTGTTATAACAAATTTGAAAAAGAAAAGGAATATTATAGAAGAATCAACTATTTTATTTTGCTGGTTTTCTTAATATTTGAATTTTAAATATTGAATTAACAGCAAAAACAACGTGGCCTTAATGGCTGAAAAAGTTTTGATTAAAATACTATTGATTCTTGAATGGAAAAATGGATATAAAATGAACAGGGGTGGCAGGCAGAGATCCTAGGAATATGAATCAAACGCTTTTATAAAATGTAAAATCAATCGTTTCATCTTTAAATAGAGACTTTATTTATATTTAGCTTGAAATAAAAATATTATAATCAAAAGCATTTCGTCATGGCACGAATTTAAATTGTCACCAATCACCTTCTTGGCTCACTAAGAAAAGAAAAAGATCCACCTCGCACGTGAGGAGCGTGTCAAAAGATATAAGTTAGCTTACTAAAAAGAGTACGTATGATCTTTCTAACTATTTTAAAATATTAACTTCTACGTCATGTTTGGTTGTAGTTTCTATATATATATAACAATGAAACTTCTCTAGAAAACTGACGTAATACTTTATTTAATTTTCGTAAATTAACTCCTTTCATACAGTTAACTATTTTTAAATTGACCTTCTCTTTACATTGTCAAGTTATCACTTTTACCTATTATAGTAACTAAATTATCTTATTTTTAAAGTTACATTATAAAAATTGTTGTACAATAGAAATAGTAGAAAAATCTTTGTAGTAATATTTAAGGCACATACAACATTATCCTTAAATTCAATTTGTCAAAAAAGTTTGGGTGGTTTCAATTTTCCACATTATGAAAGTCATTAAAAGGCTAGCTAATAAAATGTGTTACTATCAATTTCTCTCGTTTCAAAGTCAAAAGCAGACTTTCTAGATATTTTCAAAAGATACACTAGGATAAATCTCATAAGTGATACATTTGAGAAGGGGGTGTATATATATTTTTATTTCTATTTTGAAAAAGTTTAAGTTGTTTTCTATAGATTATTGACTTATGATATTTTCAAAAAAATAGAAAAACATAAATTCCAAAAGGAGGACCATGTGTAAGTAGTTTTTAGATTATTTTCGATGATCCTTCGGCTCATGATATTTTCAAATGATGATTTTTATATGTTTGAGATATTAATATAGGAGTGTTACTTTTCATATATATATAGAATGAGAGATAAAGAGATTCAGGGTTATAAATGGATCGATTTTTTTATTTTCACCGGAGATTAGGAATAGATGGACTTTCTATAAGACTCATTTTATTAACATGATTTAACTACTTCAACAACTTTAGCGGCTTGTCCAGTTACTCAAGATTCTACATTATTTTATTTTCTCATGTTAATAACGTATCGTGATCAAATTGGATGACTTTTTACTTTTATGAATCACGTGGAATAAAATTAATTCCTATTATATATATATATAGAGAGAGAGAGAGAAGGGGGTAGCCTTAACAACACAAAAATATCATAAAATGGGTTGTGCTATAAGGAAACAAGAAAGAATAAATGAAGATCAAGCTTTACTAGCAGTACAAACACATTGTAATTTTCTCCTCCTTTTTTATTTATTTTTTGTTTATTATTATTATTATCATCATCATCTTAACATTAACTTTATTTTATGACTGAAAAAAAATATTATTTTGTGATCTGCAGTTTCTTTGGAAGATGTGAAGTCATTAACTGAACTCTTCAGAAAATTAAGTTGTTCAATTTGCAATGATGGCTTTATTAGCAAAGTACTAATTCTAATTTCTTTCTTAATTATATATTTAATCATAATTAAAAGTCTAATTCTCAATTTCTTTTTTAAAAAAATTGTTAACATTATTTTTGTTACAGGAAGAGTTCCAGCTTGGATTATTCAGAGATAACAGGAAGCATTCACTGTTTTCAGACAGGGTGAGCCAACTTCTACTTAGCTCATGTTATTACGGTAGATCGACGAATTCAAGATTTAAAGTTAGTGAATTCATAATGAACATTATCTTGGTATATAACATGCTTTACTCTTTTTTTTGGCATTTATAATTCGAATGGAATGTAATAGGTTCAGTTGAACATGTAGAACTTGTCTTAGATTCGATCCTATATTGCAATGACCCTCATTCTTCCGGTATGTACATTTTTTACTAAAGCATACCGATCATAGCTATAGTTTAATGAGCAAATATTATAGTGCAATAGAGGTGAATTCAGAATCTAGAATCTGTATAAATATATTATATAATTCAAACCACTTGCAATAAGTTTAGTTGCATCTGGAGTCAGGAGAACGTGTGTTAAATTTAGAGCAAGTATAATATAGAGTCAGTAGATTTAAATTAATAAACATAATCTTATAATTATACGACACATTAGAATTATTATTTGTATATGTATATATATC